AGGGGTCCTCAGGCTTCTATTTAAAGCCCAAATGTGATTTCTAAATCACGTCACATGAAACATGATAAGAAAATGCCTTTAATTGAATTTCCGCACAAATTTTGGGACAGCAGTGGCTCAGGAGGTAAAACGGTTGTCCAGTAATTGGAAGGTCGCAGGTTCGATCCCAGCTCTGACCAGATAATTCTGCTGTTGTGTCCTTGAGCAAGACACTTAATCCACCTTGCCTGCTGGTAGTGGTCGGAGAGACCGGTAGTGCCTGTGTTCAACAGGCCTCGCCTCTGTCAATGTGCCCCAAGGAAGCTGTGGCTATATCATAGATCATCATCACCAGCGTGTGAATGTATGAATGACTGATTGTGTTGTGAAGTGCCTTGGGGGGTTGTAGAACCCTAAGAAGGTGCTATACAAATACAGGCTATTTACCATTTTACATAACAATAGATAACTGTGGTTTGCCTACATGAACTAAAACTGTGTGATGGGCTGTGTAGTTTTCTAGTACATTTAACCAAACTCTGATTACCGTAAATCCTCTAATATTAGCCTGTATTTAATTAACTACCGGGTATCATATTTTGGCCGGTGTCAGAGGTGAATAATGGCCGTTTTTTTATTGTGGCCGGGTGGAATGCGGTAACAAGCAAGTACGGGGGGTGGTTGTGTCATCCGTCTCACTTTTGATTTGCCAGTGACAGACCGCGAGGGTAACTTTAACCGTGCGGAGACGAAGAGGAGGCGAACATTTGATATCAAGTTCAAAGAGAACGTGCTGATTATGCTGCAGAACACTCTGGGGAGCAGTAGGGTTATGAACTAGTCACTAGTCGACTTCACCGCTCTATAGTGACTTTTTATGCCTGTCATCGACTAGTCGCCGTCATGTGATAATGACCGGCAAGATGCAGTCCCCGGAAAAGACAGCAGCCTGCTGTCAGCAGGTGACGAGCTCCTGCACGTCGGGGGGGCAACGCGCTGTGCCAGAGCGTCGGCACTGACACCTGCCATAAAACGGACATTTAACCAAATTGTGACCAATTTAACCTTCCCCTCATCCCATCCTAACCTTAACCAGCATGCGCATGCAAAGCTCTGATTGTTGACAGGCTCCAGACATCTGCGTCCTGAGCACGGCCACAGTAACATTATCAAATCAGGTGTAGCCACCTCAAAAACTAATTTAACACGCGATCGTTCATGTCGGCTCGTTTCCTTTTATGTTTTCTGTCTTTTATTCTTTTATTTGTGCCTGATGCTTTTCGCTGCTGTGGATCAGGGCGCATCACCTGTTTTGTCCTCGGTGAAGCACCACTGATACGGCCGGCGAGCAGCGCTCACTCCGCTGTTTTTGCGGTCGGTAGATCTTTTAGAACTGCAGTTCAAAGGTAAGTCATAAGGTGAATATATATGAACCCAGGTAGCAGTTTTTCTTTAGGATTGAGAGGAGATGCAAGAAGATAATAAACAGGCAGGACAGAAAAAGTCAAATAAAAACAAGTTAGTTTTTGTACCTGCTGGTTGCAACAAACAGACACCATTGAAGGTAATCAGAAGTGAGGAACAGAAAATGAAATAATTATTTTAATGTTTAGAGCAGCAGGAACTCCGAGAGGCTGTAGGCGCATCAGTGAGTTTGCGGCCGCTGCGCAGGGGGAGGGGGGAGAGGGCTGAAGCAGGGGGAGGGGGGAGATGGCTGAAGCAGAAACTACCGTTGTTAAAAGAAATGTGTTTAACTTTGAAAATGTGGGCGCAATTTTAATTGTCAAAAACTCCAGCGAACCATTAGTTCATTTTGTTCAAATAGAAATTGAGGCCTGCCTCTAATTCTGGTCCTCCTTCCAAAAAAGGCCTGGAGCTTGATGAGCTTGAGTCAAATACAGGCCCGGGACTGTATTAAAGGATTTACGGTAGTTAAAAAACTTTCCATGGATCAAAGATAAACAGCCTTTCACACAAAGACAAACGTATTAGACTCAATTTGAAGTTGATGGAATAATGAGACTGTCAGCCTCCATTAAGCTGGAGGTCCATGTTTCACTCCAGATTTCTGTTTTTGAACCATCTCAGGATGTCTGTAATTTTTTACTCATTTATTATGAAGTCACTGTGAACATTAGTTTAATATGTTAGTTTAATATGTTAATATGTTTATTTTTTGTGTAAAAACAAAGACAGTTTATCTGACGAGCCATGCAGAAAGACTTAAAGGGGTCTCTGACTAAAGGTGTCGATAAGACAAACAAATAATTTTAAATGGAGGTATAACAAGCATTTTAAACTTGAACAGATTGTTAGGCTTTCGCTCACATCCCTTTTTATCTGTGTGTGTGTGTGGTATCATTAAAACACCCATCTTAAACCATGAACTAGAAGATCTTGAACTTAAAGGTAATTATTTGTTTGAGAGACAATTAAGGCTCTGCTTTAGGAAAACTTCACTGATAAATCTGGGAGAACAAGAGGATACTGTTTCATAACCCCACTTAGGACACATGCAGAGTTGGTCATTCATGTTCATGCTAGAAATTCAAACATGGTCAGTAACCTATTAATTCACACCAGTGAAGCTGTTCGCTAACAATTTTACAAAAAAATAACATCAGCTGTTTGCATGTCAGAGACTCGCCATTGCCAGGGGAATTATGTAAATAATCTAGAGCTGTAATCAATTACAAATGTTCAGTAAGTTCTAGAGGTTTCCTTACAAACACCATCTTTGTTAGGCAACACATCCTCTAACCTCCCACAAGAGCCCTGGCTGACTTCACACTAATGTTATAGTAATTATCAGATTCCTGCAATGTTGAAACACCCTCCTGCTGTAGAAATGATTTAACAATCTGCTAAACTCCAAAGCTAAACAAATAAAGGCACCATGTTGCTGCAAATGATCATAATTATACAGCTCTGTGTCTGATACCATACATATAGACAAGAAATGATAACCGTGAATTTAGTATTACTATATTAAAAATAATGTTTTCATATTAAAAATGAGTTTGGTGGCAACACTATTAGGGATGGGTACCTTTGACATTTGAATCGATCGGTACTAATTCCCGGTACCTACGAATCGATACCGGTACTTAACAGTACCAATTTTAGATACTTTTGAGTGTTTAATATTTTAATTCTCTTTTATAATTAGATATATATTTTTCTCAATTTATAACCATATTTGATAAATATCACTATAAATAACATACAACTGTTTGTATTTTAACATCGTCCTTGTAGTTTTATAAGCTGATAATTAAACTGAAGCAAACATCTTCACTGTGAACTAAATTTACTGTGTATCTTCATTCCTTTTGCCGTCCTTTTTCAATTGATTTTTCCTACTGGGAAGTTAGAATTTCCGAGGAGAAAGCGAACGCACCATTAGCTGATAACAACGGTGGCAATGGAAGCTAACATATCAAGCTAACGTTATCTTAAACAGTTTAACTGCTGGAGCAGATTACAACGATGATGCCTCACACTTAAATCGTTGTCGCTGGTTTCATCTTCACCCAATCACCCGTTGCATTTAGTAAAGTGAAGCCAAACTTTAGAGCGCGTTCATGTTCTTCTAGTCGGAATTTCGGAGTTCTGAGGAGAAAGCGAACGCACCATTAGTGAAACGGAAGCTAACAAATCAAGCTAACGTTATCTTACATTTTATTTACCTACCGGAGCAGATTAAGATGAGGATGTCTCACTTAGATCTTTGTCGCTGGTTTCATCATCATCACCCAGTTATCCATCACATTTAGTGAACTGGACCCAAGCTTTAGCTTTCGTTCTTTCTACATGCTGCTCTGTTTACAACTGGCTCGCAGGGACCGATGACATAACGCTCTTGCACATGCGCAGCTGTCTAGGCAAGTTCTCGTTATGATGGACGGGTACCGAAACGAGGCACTGTTTCAAATGAAGTGAATCGTTGCTCGGTCGGTACTGTGGAATTTGGTCGGTACCTTAAAAAGTACCGAATTCGGTACCCATCCCTAAGATACTAAAGCCTTGCACTGGGACCCAACGCAGGTCTTGCAGGTGTGAGCAGTTGTACAGCTCCAGTGGGTGGGAATGACCAATTGGGACTGGGTTCTTGCAAGATCTACGGGACCAAACACAAATCTTGTGGATGCCAGAAGAGTTTTAAGACTGTTGATGGTGAAAGTGGATAAATAAACCATGAGTCCTGATGTTGTTGTTTCGTTTCTTGTGAAATAAAACACAGCTCAAGCACCTAAGCATATTTGTTTGTTAAGGAAGTTGGGTGTTTTTGTTAATAAATGGGTCTGTGGGTGAAGGTTAGTGGGACACAAATATTGCAGGGAGTGACAGAAACGGACTGAAGGAGTGGGTGGTAACGGTCCGGAAAATCTGTGGAAGCAGAATAAGAAACAGTCCTGTGCAGGTCTCTAGCTGGAAGCATCTCTTAGCTGTAACTAAAATGAGCATGTCAGAAGTTTAGAACAAGGAAACTTGGATCTGGACGCCTGTAACTGTATTATTTCTTTACTTTTGTTAGCAAATAACAAATGAATTATCAAGCTACAAAACTACGAGTTCTTTAACTTCCTTGTTTGCACCAACTTCAGAAAAACAAAGACTAAGAGGACCAATGCAACTGTCCAGTTTGTCGCCACCCCCACTGGTTAGCCCTCTCATTCACACAAAAGGTCTTTTGTCAGTCACAACAGGGTCACCCTCTCAGTTCCTGCTGGTCTGATCCTAGTCAGTCACCACTCATACAGCCTGGAAGCCTGCCAAACACCAGGCAAAGATCTTTGGAAGACATCGCTCAGCTTGGATTGTCCCCACTCAAAGACCCTCTTTTTATGAGTGAATTGAAAGTGAAATAATGCCACAGAGTGGTGTGACACACCAACCAAGTTCAGCACACAGAGATGCTTGGAAGTTAATGTAAAGAGTAGAGCTAAAAACAAATGCTTCGACCTCTCAGGCAGAGATTCCACAGTAACTGAGGGAGAAACAGTAAAAATCAGACTTACCTTGCAGCATGCATCTGTAAGCAGACTCTGAGATGGCATAAATGTGAGGAGGCATTTCATGCCTCTTTTTGCCCCGGTACATCTCAACAATGTTCTCAGAGTAGATGGGCAGATTTTTGTAGGGATTGATGACCACACAGAAGAGGCCGGAGTATGTCTATAAAAAAACATGATTGAGTGTTACTGGATCACATAAATGTCTTGTGGACGCAGTTTGATTATTCATGTAAAATGATCACACTGGAAATAAATAGAAAGTCACTGCAGTTACATGCACACTGACCACAGTCCAAGTCGATCCAGGTAGATCTTTTTGTAATAAGCTGGGAGTTTTTATCCTAGTTTACATGTGCATTAGAAAACCAGCCTCTCAAATAAAGTTTGTTCCACTCCGGTACAGTAGGTGACTACATACCACTTTTGTTGGCATTATTCTGGTTAGCTTATAGGGAGTCTAAGTCACACCCATGGTCTCCGGAAGAAAGAAAAAATGAATTAAAGTCAAAGGGGCTAAAAACGCTATTTTCTAATTCTGCTTGTTTAGTGCCATGAATTTCACATTTGATGTCCGTGAATTTTAATGACACATTCTGATACCAAGAATGCGCTTATTTTCGAACGGGGGGAACAATATTTTAGGTTTTGTATGAAAGTAAGTCCAGGATTACAAATGCGCTTCACGAAAGTGACGTCATCGAACCAGACACGGAGACAACTGAGGGAAAAGGGCTGTTAGTTCAGCAAACTTCCCACAGGAGGAAAGAACCACCACAAATCTGGTCATTTGGTAAGTAGCAGCTATGCTAGGTGAGATGAGATTATGTGGTGACGTCACATATGCGACGTGCCGATTTCTAGTTTGCAGTCATGCTAATTACAAACATTTAGATTGGCAAACCCGTTTACATGCAAGATGTAATCAGATTGCTACCGCATTATCTGGATGCTTCAGCTTGACTAGAATCAGTCCGCCTTCAGCCAGAGTAACACGTTTACGTGAAATTAAAAAAATCTACACGTCTTTTTAGGCCAATATTTTGGTTTTCTGATGTGCATGCAGACCCACTGAGTGGCTGTGCACAAAAGACCATGATATTATTTTAGTGGATGCTTAAGACGCAGGACATCTGGAGCAAACAGGCTGGAGTGTGAGTTTTACTCTAAAATAGAATAAAATAAAGCGGTTACTACTCTTACAGACATTACAGAGCACAAAATGTAAACCTCTTACTGTGTTGTTTAGGATAATTCTGGGTTGGGTGTAATCTATTTTACACAGCAATTTGCAGGTGTGAGGACAGAAAACATAAACCAGTCAATAAAGTGAGAGTCAAGGCATGGGTCGAGACTTATTTCAACCAGACTTCCTGTTAGAAAAATACCTGGGAAAAAGGCGTTGCCTGGAGGACCAAGATAGTGGCACTGAGGCAATGATTGGCAGCAGCCCCCACTCTCACTGGGAACGAGCCCAACTTACTGCCGGCAATGCGGACCAAGCTCTGACACCGGTCATACAGGGACCAAACAGCCCATATCAGAGGGCCTGGTACTCCATACTCCCGGAGTACCCCCCACAGGGCCCTCCCTGCAGAGCCATGCGTTGAGGTGAGTCCGACTATATCTAGTCGGAACCTCTCAACCTCACACACCAACTCAGGCTCATTCCCCACCAGAGAGGTGACATTCCATGTGTACTGGTGTGTGAACAACAATTACAGCCTGTGTGTGGTCATTACTGCTGCATCAGGTTTCAGGATTCTCTCTTGTGCCATTTAAATAAGTAATTATAAAGTATCCATATGCAACACTGATAATGGCTGTAAAAACAAACAAAACTATTAATGGAATATACTGACCTAAAAATATGGTGTGAAAATTCAGATTATTCTCACTTCTCGATGTAAAAATTCAAAGTATGAGTAACTAAATACATCTGAGTGGAATATGATGGCCTCCCTTGTCCCTCATTCCACAAACTGAGATCCTACAATTGAAACACCTTTTTGAGCCAACAGAGCAGCAGAACAGACCTTTTTAAAATTGCATACAAACAGAAAAATGACAAATGCAAAGTAAGTGAGTTGATATAACCAACCATGTGGTTTTGTTAGCACATGTCAGGTTTAGACACCTGGGGTCTCATTTATCAAACATTGTGTAGAATCCTTACTAAAACCGTACTTAAGCTCAGCAAAAAATATGTACTTAAGCCAAGTAGGTTTGTAATCTATCAAACATGGAGTACGCACAGCTGCACGCAATCTTCACTTCATGAATCGGAGACTAATGAGAATGTTTCTCAGCTGCATTTTAGTCACATCCCGCCCTCACCACACCCACTTACTGCCATAAATAGTCAATGCAAAGTGCCTTGTGGGTCTCATGCATATACATAAGCCGGCTGTTGCAGCGCTCAGTCAATGACATGGTGACCGTAGATCAAGGCAGATCAAGGAAGCGCAATTTCACAGAAGCAGAAATTGAGGTACTTGTAGGTGAGGTGGAGAAATGAAAGGAAGTGCTTTTGCAAAACAAATAAGAGAAAATCCACGCAGTGGCGCAGCGTTGCTAAAGTTGTCAATGCTGTGAATTCTTCAGAGAGATCTGTGGCAGATATAAAAATAATGGTCCAATCGGGATTGGATTGAGTTTCGGTTTCAATTCAGCTTTAAAAAGGAGATTATAAACTACACCCCAGTTTTTAAATTTTGTTAATAGGCAACGTAAAAGCGGAGTTGTGGGCTCGACACATGGGAGGCGATCCGCGGCAGCGCGCATGTCTCATTGAAAATGAATGGAGGAGAGGCGATGTCGCCTCCCGTGCGTCGAGCCCATTATACTAAACTAAAAAAAACAACCTATTTTTAGACAATCTGATAACTTGTCAAAACAGCAGTTTAGTAATGCGTGAGAGGGAATGTGCTTGTGAACATAAAAAAACCCCACAAAAACATGAGATCCTTTTGCTGTTGGTGGAAGTCTCACATATTCAATTGATAAAAAGTATCATTATGTAGCTGAGAGAGAGAGGAAGGCCACACGAGTAACGAGATGTGCGCAAAAAGGAGCCGCTTCGCGGGGAAAGGAGTGGCGTGAACGGAGTAACAACAAACAATTAGACAGATATTGACGGTAAACTTCATAGTTTGGAGCGATCCGGACAGATATATTGTCTCTGCAGTTTAGTAGGCTTTTATTAGGCTTAAATAAAGGATGATGAGAAGGATAAATGTCCACCAGGCAGTTCAGATAGTACGGCTGTTTTTTGAACTGGAAGCAGAGGAAGTGGGCGGAGACTCGCAGCCGGAGTCTGAGACAAACAGCGAGGATGTTAATGATGATGTGGCATGTCCACAGGTCTGTCTTCACTCACGTCCGCACGTTCACGCCACGCCCCTCATCTTCTACTAGGTTCGCGTCTCACAACAACACAATAGGGCGCGACGTACATTTGGAGAAAATGTAAGACTTTTAGGTGCGCCTTATGGTCGTGAAAATACGGTATAATAATAATAATAATGAATCACACACAAAGTTGTGAACATTTTAATTTCCTTGCTGAACTATTTCTGTTGAGAGTTTTAATGTTTAAACGATTATTACTGAAAGCAGCTACATTTAAGTTCCTGTTCTGACTGAATGCTGCTGCAGCATGGAGGTGTAGTTCTCAGTCATCCTGGACATGATCATCCTGAGAGTTTCAGCTGAAAACAGCTGGACGTTTCTGGATATGTTGGAGACATTTAGCCTCTCATCCCAGAGTCTTCTTCCAGACTTTGGTTGTGGTCAGAAACAAACACACTGCTTGTGCTGCAAGTCTTTTTCTTTTCTTTCTCCAAAACATGTTTTTGTCTAAATGAAGGTGATGTTATTGTTCATAGAATTAAAATTCATGTTGAAGTTAAGATTATTTCGTCAAGTAGGACCTGTGGTTAGCTGGCTCATGTAACACATGTCATGTCTTGAAAGAATCGGAATCGGGAATCGATAGGAACCGGAATCGAAACGAGGAATCGGAATTGTTCAAAATCAAACGATGCACAATCCTACTTTGGTTCTACAGTCCATAGCAGCCAGTAAGCATTAGGGGGTCCAGGGTCTGCTAACCCGGTTACTGAACCGGAACCATCTGACAGATTTATAGACTTCAACACCACACCACAGGCTTAAGGCTGCAACTCTAACACAGAAATGAGCACTGTTGTTAAAATGATTGGGGACCTTTACCATCTGATGTAATTTATAACAACCTGCTGGAATATTCGCTGTGAAACAGAATGAACACACTGCTTCACAAAGAGTCTACAGCTGTCAAAATCCAGGAATGTTTAAACCAATAAAAGAGAAATGGATGACTGACTGTGGTCACGTCCTGCTGCAGCTCGTATTTATAAAGGGTGGTGGGATTTTTCTCCAGATGGCCACTAAACCCCCCACCCCTCTTCCATCATCACAGATGCTTCCCTCTGCTCAGTAATCTGGTCATCCAGGCACACGTCAATCTGAATGCAGCACCTGGTGCCAGGTGAGATCACGCTGCTTGACTGACACCATCCTTACCATGCAAACACATACACCTCACCAAGGAGCGCCTCTACATCACTTACAGGAACCTATATCAGGTTATTGCATTAATAATCCTTGCCCAGACCATCTTATGGAGGGCACAGTGCCAAGCAGACAGATCAGTGATGCAGACCCAGCAGGAAGCCCGGCGGAGGGGAGAGGAATGACTCAGCTAGTTGTCGTCGCTCTCGGACCTCTGGGGGTATTTTAGGGGATTAACTTGCCTCTGAAGGTAGTGGGGGATGACCGTCTGCACAAGCAGGCAAAACAACACACCAACCAGCAGCTATGGCAGCACACACAAAGTCTTGAGTGTACGTATAAAGGTTTGGACAAAGTCATAAATCCAGCCAGCAGACTTATTAATAAACAGTAAACATCTCTGACCTAACACTTCATTCCTCTCCAGAAATTAACAAAAATCTGAAATTGTTCCGTTAACAAACAGAGACTCCCCCCGCTTTCTGTTTGGATGTAACTGGATTAGCTGGACTTCATATTGTGCATTCCCTAAATAACATAAGTAACCATAAAACAATGTAAATAACTGATTTGTAGGGATGTGTATTGGTGAAAGTCTGGCGATACGATACTTATCACGATACAGGGGAGACGATACGATCTATCACGATATATTGTGATACATTCAGTCGGACAATTATAGCGATTTTTTTAGACTAAAATTTTTATAGGAAAATTCAATAAATGGTCCAAACTGATACTTAACATGATTAACATGAGGTATCTGAACCATAATAGAGGGATTTACATTTCAGTGGTGGAAACAAACTCCATTGCACCCTACTGCTGACTAGCGGACGGCATTTGATTTGCACCAAAAGAAAAGAAAATACACAAATGTTTGCACGTAAATTCTTCCAAAAAAAAATCGATACACAGCTTTTGAACATCGATATAATATCGCAGGAAAAAATGTCACGATATATTGCTATTTCGATATTTTCTTACATTCCTACTGATTTGTGATTATTTTTTCATGCTCTGACATACTTAAGATTCCTGTAGATTTGTATTTGCTCTAAATCTTGAGCCGATCTTAATCTCACCCAACAGCGTTTGATTAAAATGGCAAACCTGTCACCAGTGTTGGCTTTTGACTGCTTAAGGACTTTAGGGAGGGCCCTAACCCAAATTCAAACAACTCTAGCAGCAAACAGCAGTGAGAATAAAGAACGTTACAGCAGAAAAATAAACAAAAATGTTTGTGATGAATTAAGAGCAGAGGGCATCCTGGCTTCACTAAGTAGTGTAGTTCTGTGTTTGTGTGTGTAAACACGGACGTCTGATGGCGGATGGAAATGGGGTAAGTTGGGGATTTACGGGAGATAACCAGTCAATAGTAAGAGTCTTAGCAATACAAAGCTGGATGAAAATGAGCACTGATTAAATTAGATAATGACTTCTACTAGAGATATACCCATTCTGGTTTGGAAAGTTGATACTGATTTTTGATTTGTGAGCAGCGCAGCCCTTCTGATGTCAGCTGGTTCCAATTTCCCTCAAAGACTACACAGAAAACTACGATTCTGGACGTAAAAACTTCCACGTGAAAGACCTGTTCTTGTCAACAAGATGACTGCTTGGTCAAGAGTATTTAAAGAAAGAGATTTTTGAATTTCAGATTTTACGACTGATGATTCACGCCCATCCTGCTGATTATTGGACGATTCTGATCACCTACAAAACCTACAGAGACCAAAGCCAAGAATCACATCTAGGGTGACATTTTAATCCCTCCCAGCCAATATGAACAAAAACAATACTGCTGTTTGATTTGTTTATCAAAGACGCCACAGAAAAGACAGACATGAAAACCTTGTTTAGTAGAGATGCACTGAGCAATCAGCCAATTACTGGTGATGGTCTTTAGCTTGACCAGCTTGAATAGAGACCAGTCAATCCAAAACTCCAAAAGCTGATTGTTTCCTAGTCTGTTACCACACTAGAGCTTAGCAGGACACCTGCTGTAAAGTCACTGAGTGAGTAAAGAAGAGGTATGTGTGTGATATCTGTATTGCGTTAGAAGATAAGCCTGATGAAAGCAAATGTTTTTCAGAGGTACGTCTGCATCTTATTATACATATAAAAAACTATGCTTTTAATTACAGTCCCTAATTGGAATTAGCAGGTTGGAGATTTGCAACAATTAGAAACTAAAACTGATCAGTGCACCAATAACAAACAAAAAAACTCAATAAAGTCGACCGATTTTCTAATGCCGATATGTGAGGTCACTAACAGACAACGGCCGATTTGTGCAGCTGGACTTTTTAACGATTTTCATGGCTGATATCTAAATGGTTTCCACCCTATTTTAATGCTAGAATGTCAATCAAAACATCAAATGATGCCCTAATTGACTGAAGCTGAACTGATTTTTGAAGACTGACTTCAACCAACTGTTAAATCTTCATTTTGAGTATTAAAGCAGATGTCTGACTTAAGTTAATCAAGCAAATCAATTCACTGACCAAGTATTAAATATTCTAAACTGGTCTATAAAAAAACATTTTAGTTGAAAATGTTTGTTTTAGAGCATTTATTCATGCAGAGGTCATTCAGGAATGTAAATAGACATTTAAATTAAATGAAAAAAATCAGCTTAACTAAGTAAGTATATCAGCCGATACAGATATTTAAAATAAATACAAATATCGGCTGGTCTACCTCTAAAACTCAATGTAAATTATTTTCTCTAATTAATCAGCTGAATGTTCACTGGTCACAGAAATGTATTATTGTTGTTTTACATAATGAAAAAAGGTTGTTCAAAAATAAAATTACACCAATAATTAAAGCCAACCTTTAACTTTGATGGAGCGGTCACATGCAGAAAACATGTGGGCCATTCCCATCTGTACCGGGTCGGCCCGGGCCGGGTAGCCCCAGTCAGCCCCAGCCTGGCCCGGTTGATTCCACACATCCTTGTCTTAAGCCCTTGTGGGCTGATTCTACCCACCAATCAGAGGCTTGCTCTAATGGAAGGTGTGAATTTGCTGTCAGCAGTGGGTGTGCTGGCCCTGGTCGGCCTGAAGCAGACCCCCTCGAGAAGAGGGCTGAGAATGAGCCTTGGTTGGCCCGGAAAAATACCAGGCCACCCAGATATGTAAACAACCTACGCTACCCGGCCCGGGCCGACCCGGTACAGATGGGAATGGCCCAATGGAATACCACAGCTGCTGTTAGAGAGCTGCTACAGGAGCCCAGATGTCCAACAAGGGAGTCGCAACCAATTCAACCGTGGGTTTTTATCAGGAATGTGCATCGGGATCTCGGGCCACCAGATTAGGGCCCTGTCCACACGTAGCCGGGGATCTGCCAAAACGTAGATATTTTTCTACGTTTTGGCCTGTCATCCACACGAAAACGGAGTTTTTTCACACGAAAACGGATCTTTTTAAAAACTCCGGCCAAAGTGAAGATCTGCGTTTTCTCCGTTTTGGGTGTCTGCGTGTGGACAGACAAAACCGGAGTTTTAAGGTCCGCAACGTCACTTTCCGCGACAAAAAAATGCTGACATCACGTGTGCGACCTGTGTTTACACTAGCCGACAGCATGGATGCCCTCAGAGCTGCGCTCGCTTTATCAATTGTCCAAGCGCTTTTTGCTTGTTTGTTTTTGCAAGCGGGATTACTGCTCTTTGCGGAAGACCACAGACGAAGGACAAGGTTAAGAACGGGGGAAGTACTGCCGCCTACAGGTCTGGCATGTCCTTAACAACGTATTTATCCGGGTACGTGTGGACAGAGTTTTTTTTTAAGCGCGGTGGTGTGGATGCAAGTTTTTGGAGGGGCGGATATTCGTTTTTAAAAAACCCGGCAATGTGTGGACTAGGCCTAGAGCTCAACCAAACTGCTTTGATGGGAATCTTGCTTTGCAGTAAAACTCCCCGACTTCCCTACATTGAATTTACTGAAGGAAGGTGTCCAGTGATCACACATAGCTGCTCCATTTATCCAAACATTTGTTACTTGTAGTATCTTGTTTTGGGGGCTGTAGGTCAATAGAAACATCAAACACAAAATCTCTAGATTTTCTGTTCCTGTCACAATAAAAGCCTTAACTCATTCAACAGTTTATACTTACATAGATGAGGCCAGAATAGTACCGGTCTTTCAGGTTGTGAAGCACAGACGCCTCATTCAAGCAGGTTAGTTCAGCCATGTCTTCTACTTTAGTGAACTTGGGTGGATTCATCTTCTGGATATCATCCTTGTTGACCACCGCCTTCTTCCCGTTCTCAGCCAGCTCCACCACCACCACTTCATCTCCACGCTCCTCACGAATACTCGCAGCCTCAAAGCCATGGCGCTCTGACGGGATCCAAACAAGCCTCTTGGCGGTCCAGTCCGCCTGCGCAGCTGGGTTGTATACCACAGCGCGGTCCACAAAGAGGTACCGCTCCGGGTCCTCCTGCCCACTCCTCTGCGACATCTCTGTTGGAAACCAGAAGCACAACACTCTGGCTCACCTGCAGAGATGAGACCAAGTAGATTGTGGGTATTTACTGGTGAGACAGCCAACGTAAATTAAATTACACTATGGGAGACTATAAATATTTGAGCCGTTGTAGCAGAAAAATCACGTGACAGAAAATCAACCCATAGAGAAATGTATCTCTAAATCTAGAGGGATATCTCAAATGACCATTTGCCTTGTTTTATGGTGAAATCTGACCCTGTTTTTATCTCAATATGTAGATTTTCACCTATACTTGTCTTGGGTGTTCTTTTCTTACACGTTACAGAAAAGTAACAACATTGTCATCCTGTGTTAAAACAGACAGAGCGATTAGTCCAGATAACATTTGTGAACAGTGTTGGCAGAGTTGCTTTGCACTGCGTTATGGCACTAGAACTTGAGTGAGGATTAGGGATGGGTACCTTTGACATCTGAATCGATTCGGTACTAATTCCCGGTACCTAGGAATCGATACCGGTACTTAACGGTACCAATTTTAGATACTTTTGAGTGTTTAATATTTTAATTCTCTTTTACAATAAAAATATATATTTTTCTCAATATATAACCATATTTGATAAATAACATACAACTGTGTGTATTTTAACATCGTCCTTGTAGTTTTATAAGCTGATAATTAAACTGAAGCAAACATCTTTACTGTGAACTAAATTTACTGTGTATCTTCATTCCTTTTACCGTCTTTTTTCATTTGATTTTTCCTACTGGGAAGTTGGAATTTCCAAGGAGAAAGCGAACGCACCATTAGCTGATAACAATGGTGGCAATGGAAACTAACATATCAAGCTAACGTTATCTTAAACAGTTTATTTAGCTGCTGGAGCAGATTAAAACGATGATGCCTCACACTTAGATCGTTGTCGCTGGTTTCATCTTCACCCAATCACCCGTCGCATTTAGTAAAGTGAAGCCAAACTTTAGAGCGCGTTCATGTTCTTCTAGTCGGAAATTCGGAGTTCCGAGGAGAAAGCGAACGCATCATTAGTGAAACGGAAGCTAACATATCAAGCTAACGTTATCTTAAACATTTTATTTACCTACCGGAGCAGATTAAGATGAGGATGTCTCACTTAGATCGTTGTCACTGGTTTCATCATCACCCAGTTACCCATCACATTTAGTGAAGTGGACCCAAGCTTTAGCGTGCGTTCTTTCTACCATGCTGCTCTGTTTACAACTGGCTCGCGGGACCCTTGCGCATGCGCAGCTGTCTAGGCAAGTTCTCGTTATGTACGACGGGTATTGAAACGAGGCACCGTCTCAAATGACGTGAATCGGTGCTCAGTCGGTACTGTGGAATTCGGTCGGTACCTTAAAAAGTACCGAATTCCGTACCCATCGCTAGGATAAATAAGAAATCAGACATAGTCTTCTTTCTGACATGACTCCACCACTGCATCTCCATCAAGCAATAAGCTCATTCATTAGTGAGCGATAGTAAGTAGGTGGAGCCTTACACCGTCATTTTATTGTGACATCAATTCATTCATAATAACAAACACCTATGGACACTCAATCCAACAAACAGATTTTGTTTTTGGAATAAAGACAAGAGCATATACTCTTAACGAAACGACGCAGCACGAGATCAAAAAGCTGACAAAGCCAACATTTACGTGTTCCATCCTTTCCAGCCTGCATGATGGATGTGACTGTGTTTAAACATAAGTGAGAAGATGTATCACCACAGCACATGTGGTTTAAATCCCTATAGTCATGTTGGCAGAACAAAATGGACTCAATCAGAACGTTAACACACATTTAGATTTACTTACTTTCTCTCATAAACGCACATTTAGAGTGTGTCACATCTAAATCAGACCACATGGAAACATGCTGTTCCCAGTCTCTGACCTAATAGAGATTGTTATCACCCTTGTCTACCCAAAACTGAATCAGTTCTATTGAATCATAACTAACTCATTGCATTAAGTGAATAACAATTTCATTAAAATAGATGTACTTATTTAACGTCAATTTGTTTTATTTATTTGCCCTCTTAGTTTTAAAGACTTTTAGACAGGTTTTCAGAAAATAGGTAGTCCCAACACAGACTTGTTTAGGAACTGGAACAGTTAGAAATTGATTAATAATAATTAGATCATCTTTTTTGTCAAATTTTCTTTATCTTTTTATTTTTGTTTATTTCTTGATAATTTGATTTTCCTGTTTTGCCGATTATAGATCTAACTTCAATTCAGAGGATTTAGTCATGAAACACAACAGAAATATTGCCTTTGTAATTGTATCTGTTACTTAAAGAGAGAACAAATGAAATTAGACTGAAAAAAGTGTTTGGGTGATAAGAAACACTTATGACAGAGATTTGTGTACAATTTAGTTTGCAAGTTTATTAGTCAGCAGATGGGTCATTCTTGATCATTATCTTTCTTCCAAAGGTCAACTATTCAAATGTTAATTTAAAAATCTGTTGCTTGTATATTGAGTCGGGGCTTGCTCGTTGAAAGTGGACCCACAATTACAAGCTGTTAGCTTTTCCCTCAGGTCATCAGTAAACTGTATTTCTCCAAACTGAGGTTGTTTGTAGAGCTATGTACAATATGTAAAACATTAATTATTCATGCCATTACCACAGAAAATCACTTTCAAATTTCTGAATTGTCTTTTTAAGACCAAACCAATTCAAAAAATTACATCTGCATAGAACACTAAACACAAACGTGCTAAATGATCCCACCTCCACGGAGAGAAGATCTAAGAGTGAACTGGAAATAGAAAATTGTACAACTTGATGCTGTCAACAGCTGAATGTCAGCCAAAATAGAAAACCCCCCACTCTGCATGCAATCCCTACTGATGTGTATACAGAGATATTTAACCTGCAACCCAGTCTCATCATGTTTAAGACAAGCCGTGGTTAGATATTAATCTGGGTCAGGTCACAGGATGGGGGATAAGTGTAGCTGCTGGCTGTTGACTCACAGCATCCCTGGAGTCACGTTTGTCTCTCATCCACTTACACCTGAAATCATAATGGTTTTACTCTGATCAAGGCCCAATAAGATGCGTCAGCGACAGTGAGGTGTTGCTGTGGTCTTCAGCAGAAACGTCACGGACGATTGTTGCCCGGACAGGCCAGCTGCACTGGCTAACTTAGCTTGCTAACATTAGCTTAAAGTTGGCGTGCTGAGCCTCAGATCTCCCCCTCCCCGCTCCAAAAGATGCCTGCCACAACCATACTGCACCGATGGGCACCACTGCGGGACTCCGCTTAAGCTTTTATTAATTGGAAGCAGTGTGTGGTCAAATAAGTTTTTAAAGTATCAAAATTTCCAAGAAAACCGGTGGTACGTGGAAGAATATTTAGCCTCCTCCGGTAAATCCCATCTTCATGGGTGTGGGAGGCTCCAACGGCTGCCCAAGGATAAAAGCAGGCGGACAATATCCTCGTCGCTTCACACCAACTCAAAGACTGAGACCGTTTTTGAAGCACACGAATTTAGTTGAGAACCTACCAAATCAGTTAAATTGCACGGGTACTGCAACGCCGACTGGCTAACACTAGCAGAGCTGAAGGTCCTCCATCATTAAAAAGTCATGCACAATAATCCGCTAGCTAACGGTAATGGATACTACCGCTAACCGCAGAAAAAAACATCTAGCTCGGGCCATTCTTCTTAAACTTACCGCACGAGATAAAAACTGAAAACCTGCTCCGATATTTATCTTATTCCACAAGAAAAAATAGGTCTTTCGATGCGAGCAACTTCCTCGGCCCTTTCTCTCATCAGTGGTACTCACTCACCAACCAACCGAACTCTACCCGCCCGGCCCGGCGAGAGGATGCGCCACACTACTGAACTCAATTTCTGAGAAACACCTACAACATCAATGCTGATTGTGATTGGCTGTAAAAGTCTGATGCTCTGCAGGGATTGGTCCAAATTTCTCATTTTGTCTGGTGGGCGTGATCACATGGATGAACACGAGAATGGAAAGAATAAAAATCACACTTCTCCCAAACCGAGCTAAAAACTAATTTGCTACACAAAATTGAAGTTGTTTCACTATGGTTATAGTTCTGTTACACCCTGACTGGGTTTCATTTGCATTTATTTGTTTTGCAGTGTGTCAAAATGTGAATGTGGTCAGAAAAAAAAATCCTACCACAAGCTCCTAGTTGGGGCTGGAAGGATATGAAGGGCGGATTGTCTGACAGCTTGAAAACCACAATAAAATCTTTTAAAAATGTTTTTAAGGTGAGCCATATTTATTCATGATGTAAATGAAAGTTTTGTCAATACTGGGCTTTCTTTCATTTTAAATCTATAATTGAAAATTGTGGTTAAAAACTGAGCTTTAATTTCAGCATCATCTGAAATCTGTATCATAGAATCAAATAGATTAAAAAAATTGATTTATTGTTCCTCTGTGGGAAATGTTTGGCGTAGAGAGTATTAATATTTTACATAAAGTACAGAAACTTTATTAAGTGCATTCCCGCTGGGGGGTAGGTTGAGATGTACAAAGACGGTGGTTATGATGATCATCAGATCAGCCACCTCATAAAAGCTTGATGGTCCAAAAACGGTGGTGTTACAAGGTTCCTCCATTCCATGCAAGACAGAGAGCTCAGCAAATCCTTTATGTCTGCAGCCACCAGGATTTTAAATCTTCTGCAAGTGTTGGAGGACCTGCCAGACACTTTCCATCCATCATCTACCTGCTTTTCCTTGCAGGGTGGCAGAGGCCCTGGTGCCTATCTCCAGGGGTGCACCATCCATCCAGTTCATCGCAGGGCAACTCAGAGACGCACAGGTAAACCAACCAGGAATTGCATTTGACAGTTTTTAGGTTTTAGTAGGCTACATAATAAGTGTTACTTTACATATATGGTTACTTATGAATACAATCAAAGTCAAGTATGAAGTTAAGGCAACAAACAAAAACAGGATTATGTTACTATACATCATCACTACCTTGGCCTTGTTCAGCTCTATTTTCCATTTCTGCCACTGATCACTCTTTTTTATTCATTTTCTTTTTCCCTTTCCTCACATTTTAATCACAGTTTTACTTTCCCCCTTTTTATGATAGTTTAAATGTTTTTTCAATCTTTATTAATTTTGTTCTTGTTCTTGTAGTTTTTATGTTAAGAGGTGTTATATAAAATATTGTTTCTTCTTCTTCTATCATGACAAACCTGTTCAAACTAGATGATAAATATTTCAACATTTACTGGGTTTTGATGGGTGAAATAAAGATGAACAGCTAAAAGGATAGTGGACGTTTACGCAGCAGGTCCTGACCTGCACCTCTCTAAATTCAGCAAGATTTGATCTTGCTGAACTGTAATATGAAATATAATGTAAAAAAATTCACAGTCATATTTATACAAAATAAACCATTAATAAAGACTAGAGTAATATAAATAGTTACATATATTTTTTGTGTGAAAAAGGCATGCTTGTATTAAATATTACTTGATGTAAAACCAAATTTACCTTTAGCGCAGTGTTTCTCAATGCTCGTCCATGGAAGGCCTGCATTCAAGGTGTTTTACTTTGAATCCTGTTTCAACACACCTGATTTGCAGGCTTGTGCAGAGCTTGATGAGCTGTGGTGATTCAACCACTGAATCAAGTGTGTTGGAGCAGAGGAACAACTAAATTGTGCTGGGTAACTGGCCCTCCAGGACCAGGATAGCAAACTACTGCTTTAGCAAGAACCAACTCCTTTATTTCTTTCAGAAAAAAATTCTAACTTTTACAGAAACGTTGCATTTGTAATCATTTTTCTGTCATTAATGTAATACTTCATATATGTTTAATTAGTCAAAGTTAGAATGCAATAATGTAACTAAATGTGTAGTTGAGAACATTAATTTCCAGAGATATATTAGCTCTTAGCTTAGCCTGCATGTGGTGGTAAACAGATTAAACTTATCACAAGAACACGTTCATCTGTAGGTCAAAATGAACTCGACGTGTTTATTTTTGGCGCCATATGTGCTTCACGTTCAATGCCTTTCTTCCAGCTTTAAAAGCTATATAACAGCAGGGGGCGCTGTCTCAGCAGAAGCGGTCTGAAACTGCAGGTGCAAACTAGAAGTGTGTGATTCAGCGGTTTCCCGGTCAGAACTAGAGCAACGGCCTCTGACACTAGTCTTTGTAGTGATGGGTAGATGAAGCGACGGGCTCTGACAGACTATAAAAGGTATAGAGTAAGTATTAGTACATCTATTTAAGACAGAGAAATTCCGTTTGAAGAGAAGTGATAGAGAACGTGACTCGCGCTAGCTTTAGCTTCCACTAGCTACCGCCACTGTAACCGACTAGCCTGAACCAAACCAGGCTTACTGACTTTTTTTTATTTACTACATGATATTTAGACAATCCTAACTAAATGACATAACGTTAACTGGTTTGATGTTTTTCCATTGCTTCGTGGCTGTTGGAACTGTGGTGTGGATCAACCAAGCTGGGAAATGTCGAAAATCTCCATTTTGAAGGTGAGAAAGCATGTTACAAGCATTCAGCACCATTAAGCATTAACCAGTGGGTGCTGGTGATTTGGTTGGTTTTTAGGAGGGGCGCATTTATGCCGTATCTAGATTTTTTCACTCTTCTGTATTGATAAAATTGTAACAACAACAAAATTGTATAAAACAGTGAGTGACATTTAAAGCATAGTGTAAAAAATAAAATGGCGCCGTCTGTAGGTGTTCGGTGTCCCCCCACGTGGCTGATGCTAGCTTCCGTTTAAAGTCTCTTTCCAGAGTATTTCTCTTATCTGATGGCACCATCTAGTGGCACATCACACAAAGTCTGTCGCTTTGTTTATTTAAGATGGCGACTTCACGTTTCTTGTTTATAAATGTGCTTCTGTAGTCGACAGAGCTAAAACATGTTGTTTTACAAGTATTCTCATGTCATGCTGTGTTTTCATATGTTTATATTTTAAAGACTTTCTTGTCCGTGAAAAGTTCATCAACTCTGCATCAGCCGGAGTTGGGGTACTCCTTAAATTTGAAGCATCTAAAGAGGTGGTCTAACGCTATAGGGAGCCTCACTTCTGAAGAACGAAAAAATGAGTGCAAGTCAATGGGGCTGAAAACGCTATTTTCAAATTCCGTTTATGTGCCATGGATTTCACATATCAGTTAATTTTAAAGACACATTTTGATACCAAGAACGTGCTTATTTTTGAACAATGCCCAACCCTACTTGTATTAACAGTTAAAGTGTGAAGCCTCATCAGTTTCCCTGTGGTGCCCACCATTGTGGTGTTTTATTTAGACAAAGTATTTTTCTGAACGTAGGCTGCTGGGTTTCTTTCTTTTGAGTTTGCATAGGAAATAAAATTAATCACTGCTGCACTTGGATACAGTATAGGGTGCATTTGTTTGCAGGTCCAGCCTGAGGTCACATGATCCATTTATCCCTGTCAATTCCATTTATAAAATAATTCAATACTGTCGAATGTCCATTAAATTTTAATTAATATTTAGCCCAAACAAGCTGAACAGAGTGCCCCAGTAACATATAATAATGCAGTCAAACAATTTCACTTCAGTTAGGAACTTTTTACCTGCTAAATCAGGAGAATATTTACTTTTTGTAGGATAACACCAACTCTATATAACCATTACATCTTCTTCACATTCAACCCCTTGTTTTTCATTTCTTTTCTATAAGTCCAGTCTTAGTGGTTTGATGACAGTCCTGCCAGACCTAGTTCTGACAGAATCTGATTCAGCTGTCTTTGGAGTCGGAGCTGTGGACTGTGGCTTAGGAGTAAGTAGGGCTCCCCCTGCTGGTCCGACCGGCGTACTGGTAACTGGTAGCTTTGGGGTATATTCTGGCAATGGCTGCAGGTGATATCTGTTCCTGTTCTCTCTGTCTCTCTCTGTCTCTCTCTGTGTCTCTGTCTCTCTGTCTCCTCTTATTTGGAAGGCGGGGAATGAGCAACGAGAGAAATCTCCCTCCCATTAGTAGCTGGGCTGTAGGGGCTGCATGACTTAATTTCTTTTTAAAGTCAACCATCAAGTAATGAAAATCGAGTCGACTTTGACTAGTCGTTGACGTCATACAGGGAGTGCAGAATTATTAGTCAAGTTGTATTTTTGAGGAATAATTTTATTATGGAACAAAAACCATGTTCTCAATGAACCCAAAAAACTCATTAATATCAAAGCTGAATGTTTTTGGAAGTAGTTTTTAGTTTGTTTTTAGGTTTAGCTATTTTAGGGGGATATCTGTGTGTGCAGGTGACTATTACTGTGCATAATTATTAGGCAACTTAACCAAAAACAAATGTATACCCATTTCAATTATTTAGTTTTACCAGTGAAACCAATATAACATCTCCACATTCACAAATATACATTTCTGACATTCAAAAACAATACAAAAACAAATCCGCGACCAATATTGCCACCTTTCTTTGTAAGGAACTCAAAAGCCTGCCATCCATGGATTCTGTCAGTGTTTTGATCTGTTCACCATCAACATTGCGTGCAGCAGCAACCACAGCCTCCCAGACACTGTTCAGAGAGGTGTACTGTTTTCCCTCCTTGTAAATCTCACATTTGATGATGGACCACAGGTTCTCAATGGGGTTCAGATCAGGTGAACAAGGAGGCCATGTCATTAGTTTTTCTTCTTTTATACCCGTTCTTGCCAGCCACGCTGTGGAGTACTTGAACGCGTGTGATGGAGCATTGTCCTGCATGAACATCATGTTTTTCTTGAAGGATGCAGACTTCTTCCTGTACCACTGCTTGAAGGTGTCTTCCAGAAACTGGCAGAAGGACTGGGAGTTGAGCTTGACTCCATCCTCAACCCGAAAAGGCCCCACAAGCTCATCTTTGATGACACCAGCCCAAACCAGTACTCCACCTCCACCTTGCTGGCGTCCGAGTCGGACTGGAGCTCTGCCCTTTACCAATCCAGCCATGGGCCCATCCATCTGGCCCATCAAGACTCACTCTCATTTCATCAGTCCATAAAACCTTAGAAAAATCAGTCTTGAGATATTTCTTGGCCCAGTCTTGACGTTTCAGCTTGTGTGTCTTGTTCAGTGGTGGTCGTCTTTCAGCCTTTCTTACCTTGGCCATGTCTCTTGAGTATTGCACACCTTGTGCTTTTGGGCACTCCAGTGATGTTGCAGCTCTGAAATAAGGCCAAACTGGTGACAAGTGGCCAAGCTGCACGCTTGACTTTTCTCAGTTCATGGGCAGTTATTTTGCGCCTTGGTTTGTCCACACGCTTCTTGCGACCCTGTTGACTATTTTGAATGAAAGGCTTGATTGTTCGATGATCACGCTTCAGAAGCTTTGCAATTTTAAGACTGCTGCATCCCTCTGCAAGATATCTCACTATTTTTGACCTTTCTGAGCCTGTCAAGTCCTTCTTTTGACCCATTTTGCCAAAGGAAAGGAAGCTGCCTAATTATGCACACCTGATACAGGGTGTTGATGTCATTAGACCACACCCCTTCTCATTACAGAGATGCACGTCACCTAATATGCTTAATTGGTAGTAGGCTTTCGAGCCTGTACAGCTTGGAGTAAGACAACATGCATGAAGAGGATGATGTGGACAAAATACTCATTTGCCTAATAATTCTGCACTCCCTGTATACCTGAAGCGGCTAAAACTGACAATGGGTGACCAAGCGTTTTTTTCCTACGCATTGGAGTGAAAATTCACTGGAATTTTTGACAATTAAAATTGCACCCTCATTTTCTAAGTTAAACACATCTTTTAACAACAGTTCTGCATCTTGCTTCAGTCCTCTCCCTCTGTGCAGCGGCCGCAAACTCACTGATGCCCCTGCAGCCTCTCAGAGTTGCTGCTGCTCTAAACATTAAAATAAATAACTTCAGTAAATTATTTCAATTTCTGTTCCTCACTTCTGATTACCTTCAATGGTGTCTGTTTGTTGCAACCACCAGGTACAAAAACTATCTTGTTTTTATTTGACTATTTTTCTGTCCTGTATCTGTTTATTATCTTCCTGCATCTCCTCTCAATCCTAAAGAGAAACTGCTACCTGGGTTCATATATATTCACCTTATGAGTTACCTTTGAACTGCAGTTCTAAAAGATCTACCGACCGCAAAGACAGCGGAGTGCGTGCCGACCGCATCGGTGAGGTGTGTCACCGGAGGACAGAACAGGTGATGCGCCCCGCACCACAGCAGCGAAACGCATCAGGCACAAATAAAAGACAGAAAACGTAAAAGGAAATGAGCTGACATGAACGATCGTGTGTTACATTTGTTTTTGAGGTGGCGACACCTAATTTGATGTTACTGTGGCCGTGCTCAGGACGCAGATGTCTGGAGCGCGTCAACGATCAGAGCTTTGCATGCGCAAGCTGGTTGAGGTTAGGATGGGGTTGAGGGGAAGGTTAATTTGCAAGTGGATAAATGTCACAATTCTGTCAAATGTCAGTTTTACGGCGTGCGTCGGATACCGATGGTACAGCGCATCGTCTCCCATCGCGCAGGGGCTCGTCACCTGCTGTCTTTTCCGAGGACTGCATCTTGTCGGTCATTACCACGTGACAACCACTAGTCGTTGAAAGTAGGGCTGAAACGATTCCTCGAGTACCTCGAATAATTCGAGTACAAAAAATCCTCGAGTCAAATTCTCTGCCTCGAGGATTCGTTTAATTCATATTTAATAAATTCGTGGCTTTGCAGTCGCCCGTGGTCATGTTTCACCCGGACTGAAATAAGTGACGCACATGCCCACTGGACTGCACACGCGAGTAGCGAATTTCTCTTAAGCCATGGCGGACAACGTGGACCCCGGTGGAGTGCGAAAAAGACAGAAAATGTCAAGATGTGGGACCATTTTTCACGTCGTTAGGCGGAAAACGTACTCCAGTGTAAATACTGTAAAATGGATTAAGCCTACCACAACACCACATCCTCTGTGCTGCAGCACATGTAAATGTCACTTCTGCAAGCGGACTCGGAGCCTCTACAAGATGATGCTTTTTAGCCTGTATTTCTATATATTCTGCGGACACTGTGCGACTTTTTCGTTTGTAGCACTCAGTTTCAGCTCACACCTTACGTCTGGTAGCAACACGTCGGACTTAAAATGTGCTAAAAAATAGCATTTTTACACAAAACGTCGGACTTTTTATTGTGTTATTGATGTTTGTTGTCCTTCGGGATTGCTGCAGGAGGACATGGGTATTTATGAGAGGAAAACGAAAGAAAGTAAATAAATGTTTTGTGATCTGTATAATTTGACAAAACCACGTCAAACATGCTTTCTCGACAATCCTTGTTATTGTGTGAGAAAAAAGTGTTGAAATTAAAACGGACGTGTGTTAATAGGGAAACAGCCGGCGAGCTGTTTGCGCATGCACCGTGAGCGGTTCTGGTTCTGTTTGGGCCGCAGCCGCCCGCAGCGCTACTTCAACAATTATCCTCCTAGTTTTTGTCTGGCTTGCAGGCTAGCAGATTCTCGCACGAGGAGAGAATCGGCTCAGGTTGTGTACTTATTTTTTGCACAGCCATTTGTTTACTGTGAAGTAAAGTTGAAGTGCTGAAGTTTTGAAAACTAATTTTGAATAAAACTTGAAGAATAACTGGCAACTGCTTGCTCATTTTAACAGGTCTTTCATAATTATAACATGCTATTTGATATAATGGTTTACAAATACAAAAGGGTAATTTATTAGAGTACTCGATTAATCGAAAAAAATATTCGATAGAGTACTCGATTACAAAAATATTCGATAGCTGCAGCCCTAGTTGAAAGGCATAAAAAGTCACTACAGAGTAGGGCTGCAACAAACGATTATTTGGATAATTGATTAATCTGATGGGGGTCTCGACACGATTAATCGATTAATCGGATTACATAGGGACATTTTTAAAAACTGCTAGGGAAATGTTATTTTTCTCCTTCCTTCACTTTATTAAACACAACATTATTAGAAAACAGTTCAATAGCAGAAAAACAACATGCCATCACCTAAATTGTCTTATAAGGTGTATAGACAGAGACCCTAAGCTACACCTATCTCAAGTTAAACAGCTTAAAGAGCAAGTCAACCCCTACCAGAGTCTAACTCCACTCCCGCTTCATGTTTGAAAAATGCAACACATGCTGTTGCCTGGCAGACTGAGAGGGCGGAGCCGCTAACAAATACACACACACTCAGGCTCACGACAGCATTGTGACATCATAATGCCAGTTTACATCATAGCATACTTCTTAGCCAATAGCGGTGGCAGATTTAAATTAAAATACAGTGCAGAGTTTTTACCTGACAATGGCACAACACTGCCAGTTTTAGGCAGAATATTTAAATTTTAACTAAGATGCACTGAAGTGCCAAATTATTGACGACACGTGTCTGCAGCACGATTAGACACTCGTTTATTTAGTTTATCAGCAAAAAAAAAAGTTTATTTGGGGGTGACTTGCTCTTTAAGGGCAATTCTCATCTGTTTTGTTTGATCTCATCTGTAGACATTTATTATAATTGGGGATGTCAAACAACTAATTTTTAAATGTAATTAAACATAGGCTGTGAATTAATCAAAATTAATCACTATTTCCAAAAATGACTGAAAAATACCAAATAAAACAAAAGTAAATGAATGCCATCCTCCTTGCGAATTTATCGATTCGTTGTTGCAGCCCTACTACAGAGCAGTGAAGTCGACTAGTTGATACAACCCCTACTGGGCTGTATCCATTAGTCAGTGAGGTTGCTATGTATGCTAGGAGTGCGAGATATGGATCTTCTGCTTTCTTTAAAAGTCTCTTCACAGTTTGGACATAACGCTCAACTTCGCCATTGCTTTGTGCAAATCTTGGTCTGTTTGTTATATGTTTGAACCCATAGCTTGTTGCGAAGTCTCTGAACTGTTGGCATGAAAACAGAGGTTCATTGTTGCTGTACAAGAGCTCTGGAATCCCATGTTTGAAAAAGATTGACTTAAGGTGTACAATAACGTCTTCTGATCTTGTGGGGGTCAGGTTGGCCATTTCCACATATTTACAGCAGTAGTCCACCAGAAGTAAGTAGTTGCCATGAAAAGCAATTGTGTTGCAATAGTCTGCAAAAAAAAAAAGCCCCACAAGTGCTACTCAAAAACATTTTACAAGGTTTGCAGGTCTGCAAATGGTTTTATGCTGAATTATTGAAATTTAAAGAGCGAGTAACACATACATTTAACTTTTTTGCTGATAACCTTTATAGATGAGTGTTTTGTGGTATACACATGTGCGATCATTATTTTGGCAGTTCAGTCAAACTTACTTTAGATTTAAGACTTCAGCCAATCATTGCCTCAGTGTCGTTCTCTGTCCTCCAGGTGAGGCCTTTTTCCCAGTCTAAAATAAACTGGCTTGTTGAGCAAATCACTGGTGTGATTTTAGTGTAGAAGTCGGGTGCAATGTGCAAAAGTGGCACACCACCATTCGACACACTCAACATGTCCACACATACCACGTACTGTTCAACGTTTGCTTGACAGATTTTTCTGAGCAGGACTCTAGACTCACCTTGTGTTCTTTTCTCTCAAGGTGGAAAATCCATCATGCCTTTGGGGTCGACTTACAGAGATGACGGAACATTACAGCAGTCTCTGGATTAAGATGAACCAATTTTACGGTGATGTTACTCTGGTAAAGCAGAAGCAGAAACCCACATCGTTGGAGAAAGGGCAGGTACTGGAACACTTTCTATCTAAGCCATCACTACATGTATTCTCATGTGTACATTTAAATTGGAAAGTAGTTTTTTAGATAAAAATCTTTGTTAATGGTGTGGTTCACTTGAAAACCATTTTTTAATTATTATTTCTGTTTGTAATTGGTCACTCAGAGTTTTTCATGCAGGCAGAACGCGACAACAGTGTTCCGCACTTCTGGTTAGCAAATAGATAGTGAAGTGCTAGGATTTGAAAATCCTCACATCTGTTATACTGAAGGCCAAGTTTTATAGTTTAACCAGTTTCACTATTAACCACTGGGGAAAATATTTCAGTATTTTTAAGACGCCAATTCTTTCTAGAGGCTGGGTCCAAATACATAACATGTTTTAAATGTAAAACCCTAACCCAATGTTAACCACTGGTCTTACTTGATGAAAAACCTGAACTTCAAAATGAATTTTAATTCTACGAACAAAAACTTCACCTTAATTTAGACAAACACGTTTTCAAGAAGGAAAGAAAAAAAGAAAATTGCAGCATGTGTTTCTGACCACAGCTCACAAGCCTCCTATTTGCAACCAAAGTATGGGAACTGAAGAAGCTTCTAGGATGAAAGGCAAAATGTCAAGATAACCAGGAAAGTCCAGTTAAAACCCTTAAAGGCCCCATGCGTGAAATCCATTGAAATCATGATGAAAAAATGTGACTCTTAATGTCATACATGCAGTTCAGAGAAAGTATTGCGGCTACGGTGGTCATGAGTTTGACTGTATAATCAATTTCCAACCTTTGTAGCCTAACCCACATAAAGCTTAAAACAAGCTACTCAACCTCTTTAAAAACATTTATAATTATGACTTTTATCAACCTACCAGTTCTGAAGGAAGCAAGCTAGTTCTGTTAGATCTTGAAGCTGTCACCATTCGCATACGGAGGAGGGGTGATGTCAGCCAGGAGGTCAGGTGTTGTGAGAAATTGTGTTCCCCTGAAGTATTCTGTCCCCCCCCCCCCCCCCGTGCCGGGAGATCACACTTCTGGCTATTTTCACATCATTTGTGATGAACCTTTACGGGAAAAGGATGTAATGTAATAATGTAATGCTTGTGACTTTTTATCTGTATTTCCTCCTAGTGATGGGAATTCCGGCTCTTTTTAGAGAGCAGCTTCTTTTGGCTCAGCTCACCAAAAAGAGTCGGCTCTTTCAGCTCCCAAGTGGCTCCTCAGATTTTCTGTTGCGTAGAGTACATTTATAACCAAAATAATGCAAAACTATATGTAAAATGATTTACTACTGTAAAAAAGGCAATATATCAAATATTTATCATTTCTATGGATTTAATAACTGAACACTTTAAGAAATCTCCACTTTCCGACTGCTGGCGCTCATTTTCTCACCGTCACACTCTCCTCTCTCTTGCTCGCTTTTTTCCTCCTCATTCCCTCTTGTCTCCCTTCACCCGCATGTGCTCTGCTGTTTGTCTGAGTCTGATCCTCCCTCTTCCCCGCCCCTACTGCTCTGTGTGTGGACAGTCTGGACACTCAGTTACACATGTTGACCAATCACCTGTAGCTTTCACCAAAGCAAGAGGGGAGGGGGGAGGGGAGGGGACGGCTCCCAATGACGAGCCGGCTCCCGTCGTTCACTTCAAAGCGCCGCCTCTTAGAGCCGGTTCGTTCGCGACCAACACATCACTATTTCCTCCTAAAAACAATAAAAGATACATTAAAAACATCCTTGTTCACTCTTTTGCTGCAAGCTTATTTACCATTTTTGAAAGTTATAATAATAATAATAATAATAATAATATATTAGAGGGTGCCTTTCTCAAACCCAAGGTCACCTTACAAAGATAAAAACAAAAAAAAGCAGAGGTTAGATAAGGCAATAAGAACAAACAAGATACATAAAAATTTGAAACAATTCTAAAGTCTAGGTCTAAAGGGAATAAACTTGTTTGAATAAGTGGGTTTTGAGGTGCGCCTTGAATAATGGAAGAATCCGTATTTCTAATGGCAGAGGGAAGTTCATCTTCCGGCTCTCAGAGAGTACAGACGCTTTTGCTTCAGCTCCCTTATCTGATTTTCCCAAGGCTCTCTGTCCTGTCTGCCTACAGAGCACTTCTCTGCATTTCTCCTGAAAATCACTACTTTTTTTTTTTTTTTTTTTTTGAAAATGGACTTAATTAACTGGTCATTCAACGCGATTGATAAGATTTTTTCTACGATGAGAACGGAGAAGGGGGCTCCCACCTGTCCTCAAGGGACATACGCAGCGGGATATGCACTCGATTCTTGGGAGGTCTGGTGAATCGTGTGCCTCTCTCAGTTGTCCATGGAGGACGTGGAAGATTTGTGGATTTTAGGCCTGATGATCACTGGATTTCTTCTGATTGGAGTGGGTGGATATCTGGTTTTCTGGAAATTTGGGAAGACGGGAGCGATTGGAGTGCGACCCGTACCCACGGAATGTGCCGCCCGTGCGGTGACCTCACAGACTGGGACGTTACTCGAGGTGAACCGTAAGCTGGACAATGTCCTCGCTGCGTTGCCTGTGTTAGTGCGCAAGATGGATGTCATCTCGGAGAGGGTCGCCGGATGGTGTGGGGATCTTTAGAACGTATAATTGGCTTCACTGGTGGACATGAATGATCACTTAATAGACTCCAAGGCAGAAAGGAAAATTCTCTGTCTGCCCTAAACAAAGTCTGTTATCCTAATCTGATGTCAAGGCAGCCTCCAAAGCTGCCATCAATATCACCCCCACGGAAGGAGGAATGTAGACGGATGCTGTGACCCGACCTTCCCCCCTGCCTTCAGATTGTGACTTCTGCTTCGAGGTCATCAACCTGCAGGAAACTCGATGTGCTCTCTGGCCCTCCTCTCTCCCTCCCACCTGTTTGACTGCAGCTGGCTGAGCGCCGTACACTGGCAGCTCCCGTTGGAGGATTCAGGATCCTGCCCCCGCCCGCCTCCCTATCGGAGTCTGATGTTATCTGTGATGTTTTGTAACTGTGATGTTCGTGCTTATATGTCTGAGGTGTTTTTTTTTTTTTTTGCATAGTACAGCTACGCCCTGTCGGGTGTAACTATGGTATGCCTAATTTTTTCCCTCCACTAACCTATCCTCATGTAATTCCTTTTCATCTATTAAGGTAGCGCGACTCATGTTGCGAATGACCGCAGTCACCAATTCTTGTCATGTGTCTTGCCCATGTATGTTTGATCTCTGAATTGTGTTTACTGAAACTCAATTTCGTTTCTCTGTATGTCTTGCACATGTGGTAGAAATGATAATAAAATAAAATTACTTTGAAGTGAGTTCTTGAGCCGTGGAGCAGAGCAACTGAAAGCTCTGCTCCCCATGGTGGTAAGGCGAGCTCGAGGTTGAACCAGATGAAGTGCAGATGAGGATCGAAGAGATCGGGAAGTGGTTGCAATAGTTTGTAAGTTACATAGATAAAGTGGAGCCATGCTATGTATAGATTTAAATGTAAGTAGTAGGATCGTGTATATGTTCCTGGTTTCTATTGGCAACCAGTGTAGGTTTTTAAGAATAGGAGTGATGTGATTTCTTGAGGGGGTCCCAGTTTTGATGCGTGCTGCAGAGCTCTGGAGAAGCTGGAGTTTATGAAGGGATTTAGTTGGGGGACCAAATGGAAGGAATTACAGTAGTCGACGCGAGAGGTGATGAGACTATGAACGAGGATTGCAGCAGCATGAGGCTGTGGGGAGAGGGTCAAGCAGACAGGTGGATGATTTGGATTCCCTGATTAAATTTGATATCTCAGTTGCAGAGGGGAGACTGAAACTTGAGAATAAATGACTTGGAGTTGTAAGGATGGGTTCAACTTCTGAAACAGGATTTCTAGTAGCATTGAGTTGTTGGTGAATATTTGAGATTTTGGATGTGAAGAAGGACATGAGGGAGTCTGAGGAAACCATATTGTTAATAGGGCTGTCGCGGTTGAGGAATTCCCCCTGCGGTGATTCAGGGTGGCTTAATATTGCGGTGTGCGATATTATTGCAGCCCTTTTTTTATTGCAGTACTATCTAAACATAATGTTTACACATTTAAAAAAGGTTAAAAATTGCTGTGCCTTCTTTTATAACACTTTACTGAATGCAGATCAAAGGACAATAACAACACAGATCGCAGTAACGTTTGTTTCTCCGACAGTCTGAGTCCGACTGAACTTAAAAACAACAAAATTCAGGAGGTTAAACTTTTAAATGCAAATTTGGCTGCAGCATCTAACAAATAAGAAACAAGTCCCCATTTTGTTTAGTTGTTTAAAATCAAGCATAAAAAATTACATGTACCGGGCGCGCGCGCCGGGGGGCGGGCGCACTATCATTTCACTTTCACACATACGAATGACGGTGATTTATAGCTCGGTCACGTCCTTGTTGCCCACAAGGAAAACCAGCATGTTAACCATATACGGTTTGAGAGAGGATCTGAGAGGCATGGCAACATTTCCAGTAACGCTGAAAACCCTCTCGGATGGTGCGCTCGTTGCACGCACACGTACCTGCGTGCGACTCTGGCGAGCAAAGGGAATCTCTCCCGGTTGTTGCCCCACCATGTCAGGGGGGTTTCTTTAGGGTGGATGCATTCCTCCTGCAGGTAGCGAGTGAGCTCCAGCTCGGCTCAAACTCTCTTCGGGACGGTTGCAGAAGCAGTGCTTGTCCGGGACTTCAGCAGGTCTCCGAGCGTTTATTATTATATTTTTGCCGCTGCAGCTCTGTCTCGGCTAAGGACTCTGGCTGCGCAGCAGCTGACGTACTGAAAACGAAAGTGCTCCCAAAGGAGCGAAGTAACGTTTCGTTTTGATACCAGTGCAGCCATCCTTCTCAACATGCATCATTGAGTTGAACCAAGTTCAGTAATCGCGGTGGCCCATGATGCAGCGCGGTGGGTTTCTTCATATTGCGATATTTCATTACTGCGGTTACCGCGACAGCCCTAATTGTTAAGCAATAAATCAGGAGGCTTTGTAATTTTGGATAAC